CCCCTGGAGCTTGGGGGTCCCAGCACAGGGTCAGCGCACAGTCATGTGAGGCACCCCTGGAGCTTGGGGGTCCCAGCACAGGGTCAGCGCACAGTCATGTGTGGCCCCCCTGGAGCTGGGGGTTGGGGGCCTTGCTCAAGGGCCCACAGACATGTGCCTGTTCTGCTGATGACGGGGAGTGAACTGGCGATCTTCCACTCACAGGCACTGCTGCCCACTGTCCCCCTATACTGACCTCACCTAGGGATTGAGCGAGATGTTACTGATCACCACACTACAAAATGCAAGGGTGAAAAGATGCAGTAGAAAATCAGAAAACCACACATGCATGCACAAACAAATAAATAAATAGAAAATAGCTACATTGTTATAGTAGTAACTGCAGGATATGCATACACACAATTTTATGCTCTCGGTAATGAGTAATAAGTCACTTTTAAAATATAGGGAATATCACTGGTGCCAGTAATGTTTCACTATATGTTTTAATTAACACAGTAATAATAATTTCATAGTTTAACACACTTATTACCTCAGTTCTGAAAGCAACTTTTCTTTCTGTTTGGTTTACACAGCGCAAAACGAACGTTTGACGTCTATTAGTAGGTAAAGACAAATAACTGCTTTAAGATCTGTGTAGCTGTGTAAGAATCGGACGCGCTGTGGTGGTTTCTGATGGACAGAAGGGGCGGGGAGAGGAAACGTGGTTCCCAGCTCGCGGTGGCTTATGGGAGAACATGGCTGCTGAGCCGTGGAATAAGATAGATGTACCCCGTCCCGGGGCCGTCTCCACTGTCCGTATCCCTTTCACAGAACACACAGGTAACTAAGGAAATGGAGATTTAATGCAACTTGCAGTTTGGTTTAATTTAATGTGTAACGTAAGGCGATCGCGGCTGTGCTTGTTTACATGCGGAGCGGCAAACACACGTGGGCACCCATGGGACACATCGCATACAGTTAGAAAGCATCACAAAATACTCCCGGATGCTGCTTTGACTTTAATGCGGCTGAAAATAAATAGTTTGTTGTATCGCATGTATTTTCTGTAGCTTGTCAGCTTGACACTGCGTGTCGGGTATGTTCACTCATCTCAGTGTTTTCGTTATTTTCATTTCTGGAGCTGGACCGTCTTTTATAATTTAGTTTCACACAGCGTTTTCCACTAACCATAGTGTTTTAAAGCACGATACCCATAGGATTATTACATGCACTGCTGCGTATTGTCCCGCTGTGAATGTAATATAACGCTGAGAATGTAAATGCTATTGGCACTGGGAATCGTTTTTTTTTCTAAAGCAAGCTCCGAGACGTTTCATGCTTGTACCCGGTTGTGTCCTTCAAAGGCGACCTCGTTAAATGTTTTCTGGAGGAGTGTGCCGGGGTGCTGAAGGTGCTGCAGAGCGACATCCTCCACACCGAGATCATGGTGCTTTACTCGGTGCTTTATGTGACGAACAACCCGCTCCGACAACACAAGCCTTTCAGAGCCATAAAACAGGTCAGGAGTAGTAAACCGTCTGACCAGGAACACCATATAACCAAAAGATTGATTAGTCTTAGACCTTGAATTCATGTCAGCAGTGATCTGTAAAATCATCATCTCACAACCAAAGCATAACCCTAGAAAATGCCCAGCTGTAAAACCAGTTTGGCCAGGACTTTTACTTGATGCATAACATAAGGTCGTTACTTCAGAGAGAGATTGGAAATGACTGGACTTTGGTCAAAAGCGACCTTTGTCAGCCTGACATTGTGCTTGACCCTCAGGTTGAACGTTGCCTAAACCGGCTGAAGGAGATGAAACTGACCGCAGCGCTCCTGGAAGCGGAGGCCATGTGTCCAACGGAATCTCAGAGGTAGCAGTTCAGCCGCCTGTCTGCTTCGTCATTCTCCTCCCTGGGGTCTTCTGTGTCCCGATGGGCCGGCACATGTAAAAGCTGTTCCATTTTCAGCACTGCTTTACACAGTGAGATAAGTAGTTCAGAGATTTGGGTTTAGTGTCTCTGACAAGGTTATGGCTTTGAATTCCTTGGACTGGAACCAGAAACACATTGCCCCCATGACCTGCCCTAAAATAGTGTCTCCTTCCATTATGAAGGATCTCTGGCTTTATTATTTAGAGCATTTGTGGTGCCTGTTTGATTGCTGATTTAATGTCTCATTTATGGCCCCCTCCCATGGCTCTGCCCCCCCTCTCAGACAGGTGTCGTCCCAGACGGGCCAGTGTGAAGTGCCCAGTCAGCCCACACTGGAATGGCTAAGCCTGAAAGTTCTGGGAGCCAGTAAGCTACTGGCCTGCCTGCTGGACTGCTCCATCAAGGCCTTCTCGTATCCATGGTGACGAGCTGCTGTTTCGTCACAGGGTCAACTCAAGTCTTGCTCCTTTAAAAACACTTTAGATATGCTGTTAATGTTTAAGTGGCCTTCAAATTATTTACAGTTTATTAGCATAAATGTGAATAATAATAATAGTATGAATGCTAATAACAATAGCTACAGCTATTTGTATTAATAGTAATGATAATGGTAAAACAATAACAGGCGTATTTGAGTGTATGTGTGACGTCCAGGTAAGTTTGACTTGTTTTAGGACTTGACATTAACAAAAGGAAAATTATAAGAAAACATTTTTGTAAACTGAAACAAACCAAGATAAAAACTACAATTAAACAAAAACTATTAATATCACTTCCAAAATTAACTGAAAATAAAATAAAAACGTAAATTACTTTCCGTTACCAGTTTTTAATACTGTTTACCTAAGGTAATGATTTTTTATTTATTTATTTACCTTTAATTACCATTAATATTTCCTGGAAAGTTTTGCCTATTTTAATCAGATCAGATACACAAAATTCTTTTCGCCTTTCAGTATATTCCTAGAAATAAAATGAGTAATACCTAAACTAAAATAAATAAATAAACTAAAATTAAAAATGAAAACTATAATGACACAGGCCTTGACTCCTCACCCGTGGCCAGAATGACGAGGCAGCACCTTTTCTGGGCAGAATACATCGTCCTCAACGTTGTTTTGAGCTCCATGCTCAGCCGCCTGTGGTGAGTCTGATGCCTCGAGGTCTTTGCGGAGTCCTGTTTGTGACTGGGCTGTATTTTCAGGGCTGTTTAACCATGCAGTCCCCTGTGGTCGGTGGTCCTATGTAGTTGCTGCTCTTGCTTTCGCAGGGTGTTCTTCCAGGGCGTCTTGAGGAACCTGGATCCTCTGTACCGGGCGGTGCGTGCCCTGCTGCAGGACGTGTGCCAGGCCTGCCCTATGCCCTCCTTGAGCGGCTTTGTCCTCCCGGAGGATGTCCCGGCTTTTCTTGGGCCCTCGTGTTGGGCCCAAATAGAGGCGGGGCTTCCCGCGACCGCCACTAGGAGTAAGAAGGGGGCCAGCATGGGGAGCCGGGTGCCGGTGCAGGTGGACCCCAAGGCTGAGAAGAGCGGCATGGAGGATCTTGGGAGTTTGTTTTTCCAGAGAGGCCCCAGCGCAGTTGTAGGTATGCTTGGTTGGTGTTTATATTTTGGGATGATCTGAGAAATTGTAGTCCGAGAGCCAACGGTAGTGATGGCCAAAATGCTTCATGAACCATTTGGTATTTTTTCTGTCCCCTTAGATGGTGCTCTCTGTTCACAAAACAGCTCAAAGCATGCCCTAAAGCAAACCAAGAGCACCATCTAGTGGGATCAGAAAATACAGCAAATGGTTCATGGGTCATGAAGTGTTGTCTTGGCTATCATTAGCCTACAGCACAGTGGTTAGTGTCCCGGGATGATAATCGAAAGTTCGCCTGATCAGGGAACAGGCTGATGGTTTTAGACTTCGAGAATAACTGATCTGCGTAACTTGTGTTGCTGTTTGCTAAATTATACTCTAAATTTCTGATGATAAAATGAACACTTTCAGCAATCCTCCTGTTTTAGTTTCAAGCTAAATACAATCTGACTTTAATAAAACTGTTACCTGCATTAAGTAGAACATTAAATAGCACAAAGTGGTATTTGTGTACTTATAACTTCTGAATAGGTTTATTAATTATCTTATTTTGGCAGAGATATGGATTGGGCAAACAGCAGCCTTAAATCTACCTTTAAGATATTAACACAAGATGTGTGACAGTGTGTTTCGAGTGACAGGCAGTTATCTTCAGTTGCATAATTAGCAGCTGTTTTTGGTCAGACACTTGAATCTGTGTTTCGTTTCTTTGTCCTAAAATGAGTAAGATGCATGTCTCGGCTACTTTATATTTAATTGAACAGGCTCATAGCTTTTTCCATTGCCAGCTGTAATCACTGTGATTTTAAATTATGATTTTGTCCGGAGTGGTTTTCCTGGGTCGGCATCATTCAGCTGCTCCTGTGTTGGCTCTTCAGGTGACGCCGCCAGGTTTGATGTGAAGGCTCTGCTCAGACGAGGGAGTGGAAACAGGAATGCTGCTCAGGTCTGTGCCCAGTTCGGGTGTTATATTTGGGTATCACTGCAGGCGACTGGGATAGCAGATGTACAGCGTGTATATGTGACTGAATCACAAACGGTCGTTATAATTGCAGCCATGGAATGGTGTTGGACAAAATGCTTCATGCACTATTTGCTGTATTTTTTGACTGCATTAGATGGTGCTCTCTGTTCAGAAAAGGGCACTAAGCATGTCCCAAAGCAAACCAAGACCGCCATCTAGGGGTGGGTCAAAAATACAGCAAATGGTTCATGATTTGTCATGTTATCCATCACTACTCTGTGGATAGTTGGGGATCAGGATCCCCCATTCGCTCCGTGTTCTGTGGGTAAGCTGGGGTCCTCACACTCCAATGACAAGGTGTGTGTGTGTGGCCGGCCTGTGATGGATCAGCAAAGCATGGCATGGTTGGATAAACGATTGACTTCGTTACTATGCAGCTTGCCGGGTCTCCTCCAAGGCCTGGAGGCGACACCACCTTGGTGTGGCAGAAACGGAGGCTGATGAAGCAGCTGGCGGCAGCATCCTGCTCCTCCGACATGGCCGCCCGTCTGACGGAGGCAGCCGCGTGGTGCCGGCACAGGAGGCTGCGGAGGGAGAGCTGCCGGCTGAAGCTCCTCAGGCTGACCTGCGGGAGGCTCCGCTTCCTGGAGGAGAGAGGCTTCAGGTGGGAGTCGCCGGCCCCTCCGCATCTTTATTCTGATTTTATTTCCTGGATATGAACATCCATTTTTTATTTTTTATTTATTTGCTTGCAGAGTGGAGGGCAAGCTGATGGCTCTCAGAAGGGCGTGTCGAAAAGCCTTATTCCTCCCTCCTCCCGTCGTTTGCCGGCCATCCAGCACCCCCTGCAGGCGGAGGAGGAACTCGCGCCTGAGGGCCGGGTTCCCGTCTGCGAGGTGGCGCCGCTGGTCTCAGAAACGGGGCAGACGAGTCACACCGGGGACGCCATCTGTGGCGAGTAAGGCGTACGCTGAGGCGGGAGGAGGAGTAGGAGGAGGAGTAGGAGGAGGAGAGGAAAGCAAGGAGGGAGACGCGGTGGCGGGAGGCAGCAAGGCCGACGCAGACCCCAGTCTGGGCAACGGCGGCGAGATCGATGACATTTTTGCCTCGTTAGGATTCTAATCAGGGCCAGCTGTGAGGATGCGGCGCCCCGTCAGCATTGGGGCATGCCACTGGTCGCCCTGGCATGCAGGGAAGCGGGTGCCGCCTGTTACTTCTGGGAATCGGCACTGGGCTGGTTGCCCTGGGCAACTGCATACTGTGTATGTTTCCCCACTGTACTTTGCACACACTAAGCCTCCCCCCTTTGATACATTAACACTTTAAATCTTTAGATTGCTTATATATAAAAACCAGTACAATCGATGTTTGTCTGAATCATAAACATTCTAAAAATAGAATGTTTTTTTTTTTTTATTAAAGAACTGAAACATCTGCCTTAAATAGTTGTTAAATAAGGATAATAATTTACAGGATGTCATGGGGGGAAATAACATTTTGTAGAAGAAAATACAGAAATACAATAAGAATTCTTACTGTGGTATGGATTACTCTGCATACGGTGTCTGTTTCCCCAATGGACTTCGTACACTCAGACCCCCCTGCCCACCCCCTGTAGCCGCATGCAGCAGAGGGGTCCTTCACTTGTGCCAGCAGCCAAGGCGCGGTCTGTATCCTGTGACCAGCTGCCGGTGCACCTTCCACAGCAGTAATGAGTAGGGGGACAGATGGCCGTGCAGATTCTGGTATTTCAGTACGACTCAGACAGTGTGTCTGAAGACTAACTTGGATTCTCATCCAGCCACACCGACAGATGATGATCATGCCACAGTTACACAGTTAGTGTAACAGCAGCAGTTTTTATTGATTACCATCATACCAGTTGAAGGAGAATATTAAATATAGAATATCAAGCATACAGTCAACTGTTCACAACAAATTTATTCTTCTGTACTTTGGATATATTAACACATTAAATTAAATTGCTTCTTTGTAAAAACCAGTACAATTGGTGTTTCAGTCTGAATCGTAAACATTCTAAAAATAGTTTTTTTTCATTAAAGAACTGAAATATCTGCCTTGGATAGTTGTTAAATAAGGATTAATAATTTACAAAGTGTCATATAACATTCTGGAGAACAAAATACATAAATACCCATAATAAAAATCCTTCCTGTGGTAATGCATTAATAATTTAACAGATTTTCAGAATTGCTAGAACATCAAACCCCATTCTTGGAACAAAATTGAATTGCCAAAACTTACTGAGTCAGCCACTCATTTGGCAAAGTGGTAAGCAGTGCTCACCTAGTTAGACACAATTTGCATATCTCAGTCGCCCTATTTGCAAAACTAAATATGTCCCGATTCATCAAAATACTGTGATGAACTCGGATGCAAAATGGAAAACGCAGCCAGCAGTCATGCATCATTTGAACACAATGGCTTAAAATTTCACACGTTTCTAAAGCTGATGCTAATGAGAGGAGTGACTAGATGAAACGTCCTGGGTGAGAAGGGCAGCTGCCATAAGCCAGTCAGATTTTGATGTCAAGGTATGGATGGATGACACCAAAGGTTTCTTCCTCCGTTGCCTAGCAAAGAAGAACATTGTCTGTGTTGTAGACGAAGGTCTGTGGCCTGATCCAGCTCGGAGACATCATGATGGGGCAGAATGAATATTCCTCCTTGACTTTGGCTTGGCAGTCGTACAACATTTTACCATAATGTGCCTCTCATTTGGATGATTTACTATCTCCTTTGCAGTAACTTTTTTGAAGTGCTGAATAATGCAAACATTGCATATTGCTTTACGTGGAATTGTATACAAACATTTTTGCTAAACATTTTTTTACACTACAGTCTTTTGGTTTCCAATTTTGCAACTCGGCATGCAAAAGACCTTGAGTAGATTGATTTTGCAAGAATGAGTTTTGAGAAAAGGATGGAAGGTTTCCGGAGTTTTGCTTTAGCAATTCAGAAAAACTGTAACTTCTGGTGTATTATTATTCAAACCACCATTAATAATTCTAAATGTCTCACACTACGGTAACAGGTCATGTGATCGGGACTGGGGCTCCAAGAATGCACACTGAGTAGGGAGCGATGGCACCCGTCTCTCTGCCTTTGGTCATGTGACCCTGAGGCTTGGCTTGTTCCTCCACCACCCTTATGCCCTGATTACCGACTGATGCCCTGCATGCTTGCGATCGAGACAAATGCTAAATTTAGCGCAGAAAATGACTCAGGGAAACTAGCTTATTTTAATCCCAGAGGGTCTCTGCTGTTGTGCCTTTGAGGAGGGGGTACTTAACCTAAATTTATTCTGCATAAATTGGCAAACTGCAACTAATTATATTTCTGGGTAAATGCCAGGCAATGATATGATGAAAGTTGCTTAGCAGTACACCCTCCCAGACAACAGGGGGCAGTGTGAGGTTGAAAGGGTAGTGATACTCATGCTCCATTGCCACAGGGTCTCCCTGCAGGGGACCTTCCAGTCACAGCTGTGTAAACTTGCCCGCGGGGATATCGTTGGTGTCGTGCTGGAATCCTCCGTTTTCCATGGTGTATGCCTGCTTCTCTGTGCTGCCTGTCGCGTCCTGAGCCGCACACCGCAAATACAGCCGGTAACCTGAAGGAAGAACAAAACCGAAATCTGCAGCCATGCTTCTCTAAATGTCTCCATTCCCTGGAACCCATGTGTGCGGAATCCTACGTTTGAATGGACGTAACGATGTCAGTGCTACAGCTGATTATTACGTACCTCCTACCACCACGATGACCATCACTATCTGGAAGATGCTGTAGATGAGTGGGAAGGAGAACATGACCTCGAGATCCTCTGGGGAGAAAGAGAGCTGCACGATAGTGCTGCACAGCTGGGTGTTCTGGAAGCCCGTTTCCAAAGCTATGGTGCGACACCTAGGGAGACGGACAGCTGGTCAGCTAGTGTAGGTGTCAAGAAATAAACTCGGTATGGCCGCATACATCATTATGGTAAGCGGAGGTGGACCTGGGGGGGCAGCTTACCTCACCCAGGGCTGACCCACAAGGCGTGCCAGCAGGAATCCCAGACTGAAGCCCAGCAGCGGGAAGATGGCGCCGATGATCCACAGGGCAGGAGAGATGACCCAAGAGGACTGGTAGAGTATGCCTCCCACCACTGCGATGATGACGATGAGCAAGAACCCCAAGACAGATCCTACCTGCAGACCAACGCACATGCTGCTAGTCCACCCAGTTGGGGGGGGGGGGGGGGCAAAGCCTCCAGGATTATTAAACAGTGTCCCTCACAAAAAGTGGGGCACTCTGAAAGTGGGATACTCTTCTTTAAACATGCTCAAGGTTTCTGACAGATGTCTGAACATTATGGGGTCATCCAGCCCACCGCAGATGCTGAGACGCCGTCCCCTTGGTGGCAGAACCTCACCTTCAGGATCTTCTTGCTCGTCTTGGGCCACCTGTGTTTGACGTACATGCCCAGGCTGACAGGGATCAGCAGCGATACCAGGGTGATACCTGAACAAAGAAACCACATACTGGGAATAAGAAACCTTAATGTGGCAAAGGGAAAATGCCAACTATAATGGCGGGTAGGAGATACGTACCACGTCCCGGGAGAGTTGAAGGGTATGTGTGCTGTGAGCAGGTAATACGTTTGAATAGTGTGTTAACTGGACGTTCATATTCCTGTGGAAGATCTAGATGGATTGTGGGTGCAGCCTTCAATGCGCCACCTTACACAGGCCGGCATGGTGAATGGAGTCATAGAGAGCCTTTGGCTTTGACCACAACCACAGTTTAAACCTTGCCTTTAGCAAGGGGGGGGGTAGTTGAACTTGGACCCCCAGAAGTTTTTAATCTCCCTGCTTGGGCATTCTCGCTCCCTCTCCCCCGCTCTCCTGGCCCCCCCCCCCCTCTCCTTCCTTTTCCCTGTTTTTGTATACTTCTGTCTTACTGATGTTGTGATGTATCACAACACACACATGTAAAGTGCCTTGGGCACTATTTAAAAATACACTCTATATTCCATGAACTGAGTCTGGTGTTAGTGGCAGACATACCTATGCTGTCGTAGGGGATCTGGATGGTATCAGAGGAGGTCCAGGAGGAGGTATAGATGAGGAGGCACAGAGGCATCATACCCATGGCTAGGATGGAGGCGCAGGCCGTCATGCTGACACTAAACCAAAGGCAAACACAGCTGCTCCATCACCCGGATCGCCAGGGTACCAGAGGAGGCAGTCTATATGCAGGATATGCTGAAATGGTGCATCTCTGGGAAACATGCATGCGTCCATCCATCCATCCATAACTGCTTCTCCCTTTCATGGTTTGGTGAGCCAGCCCAAGAAGCAAAAAGTCCCAAAAGAGGGAGCACTTTGGATGGGATGCCATTCCTTCGCCGCGCATGCACTCACACTAAATGCGATTTAGAGACACCAGTTAAACTGCATGTTTTTGGACTGGGGGAGGAAACCCACACAGACAAATTGCACACACAAGGACAGGGAGGTGATTCGAACCTATACCACCTAGCTTATCGACCACCTCAGTCATGCGTGGTCATGCTTAATCACCTGGTTGTTAGAACAGACCTGGGCGGCTAAATTAGGAGTGGTTTCACTATACAGTCAGGTACTGGGAAACTTAGAAAGCTCTTAAATTAATCTTTGACTGTTGAAGTTTGGACTGTTTGAAGGTAATGATTTACATGTTAATGAACCTACAGATTTTAAAAAGTAAAATTTGTTACAGTTGTTACGGCATTATTTAAAATTTTTGCAACTAAAAAATGGCTGCATTAATGCAGCAGTGGTGGCTTAATGGTTAGGGAAGTGCACTTGTAATTGAAAGATTGCAGGTTTGAATCCCCGACCAGCAAGGCACCACTGAGGTACCCTGAGCAAGGTCCCCCCCCCCAAGCACTGCTCCCCAGGTGCTGAATTAGCTGCCCCCTGCTATGTCATGATGTCACATGGGTTAAAGGCAGAGGACATGATGTGCTGTGGTGTGTCGACAATGACAACTGATCTCTAAATTCTAATTAGGGTTAAGCTGGAATTAAAGTCAAGTTCTATGATCTCCAAAAGACTATTTAAAATAAAAAACTTAAAAAAAAAAGAAAGAAATTCTTTGTAATCAAATTAATTAGAAATTATATTAAAAAACTGAACAATTAGCTGAGTAGCCAATTATTTTATACTGTTCAAAGTGATCAGTGACTCTCTATCAGGCCACTAAAAACCATCATAAACTGGTATAAACATTCTTATGAAGGGCCAAAGTCTCCCCCACCCAAAATATTGCTGGTTTTGGCAAAAATATAGTTTAGCTTTCGTACCACTGCGAGCACACAAACTGGCGGGCAGAAACAGATAGAAGGTGACTGACTAACTGAATAAAGTTCACATGGTGCAAACATCTTAGACAAGCCATTTTACTACCAGACTGAATCCTACCTGAGATCCATGTCACCGTCCAGCCAGTAGGTGAGGATGTTGGAGCTTGTTCCGCCGGGACAGCAGCCCATGATGAGGATGACCACGGCCTGCATGGGCATCACGTTGAAGGCCAGAGCCAGGGCGTAACCGGTGAGGGGCATGATGCCAAACTGGCAGAGGACGCCCACCATGATGCCCCAGGGCCGGCGGATGTGGCCCCACAGCTTGCTCAGCTCCACGTTGCAGCCCATGGAGAACATGACTATGGCCAGCAGGATCGTCAGGACGATGCCCATGACCTTGCCCAGGATCTCGTTGAAGCTGCTGCCGGTGGGCTCTAGGCAAGCGGAGCCCTGGCAAACCGTGGCATTGACGGGGCAGATGGTGGGCGTCGAAGCGTTCGTTTGGAAGGTGGCGTACTCCCGCATGTTGAAGATGTGGGCGTGTAGTTCAGAGCCTGAGGGGTTAGGGACTTTTTTCCCAGAATCTTCTGCTGACCGTGTGTGTTCTACACCCAAGCTCCGACTAGCTGGTGTCTGACATCTACAGCTCTATGCCCTGCAAAGATCTTCCTGCATCCGTCTCCCTTTATCCACTTGCCCGCCCACAATTAAAGCAAAATGTGTATATATGCGACAATCCAAACTAAAAATTAACCGGTGTCATTTTACAAGGCCACTGTCACAGAGTTCACAAAAAAATTTGACCGCTTCGTACCTTCGCTTTTATGTCGTCATTTATCAGCTATCTCCTTGGGTTTTACTGTCCTCGTTGTGTCGCGCTGCTGTCACTCTGCCTGCACCCCCCCCCCCCGAGCCGAAGGTCAGCCGAACATCAGCGGCAGGAGTTAGCAGGAAGCAAGATGAGTAAAGTGAAAAAAAAAACATAAAACTGTGACGAGACTCAGGGACACCTCTCTCCGTGTGGGAAACAAACTTGTGACACTGTTTAATGACCACTTACTCAATCCTGTCACTCATTGCAGAAACAGGCAGCTAGATCCCATTCAGACCTCAGAGTCACACGCTACTGCCCCCATGTGACCAACGACCATCAGAAACGTTAAAATTCATCACCCAACAAAAATCTTCTTTACATTTTATTGGAAAAAATAGATAACATATATTCATTACATGACATTTCCTCTAGGGAGAGCTTTATTGATGGGATAAAAGACAAATTAACAGACATAAATAATCTCTGCTGTAATTAGTCAATGAGAAGGTTTCTGCTCAGCATCACCGCTCAGGGGAAGGTTGCCGGTCACATGGGCGATGAAGCAGCGCAGCACATGGACCCCCGTGTACTGGGTAGAGCTGTTAAACCACAAACAGCAGTAGCAGTTAATGTCAGACTGTCAATTTTGTCATTTACCACACATCCTGAGGGACAGATGGGGGTGGATGTATACAAAGATACAAACAGATAAGTGTACAGAAGACGGCTGAATCCCCGTCACTGTGCTGCTCCTCTATGCGTCAGACCCCTGTGTTACTCACCGCTCACACTAAAGATTATAAGAAATCTTCACCTGTGACAGGAAGCTTTTCCCCAGTCCTGCTTGTCTGGATATTTAACTGGTGTTTATATAAAAGTGTCGACGCATATTAATCTAAGGATTATGCCTAGGAATATTATTTCAAACTCTCACTGCTGTACATGTATCAGCCCTTCTGCGCTGCCCTAAATTCCTCCTCACCCAATTCGTGGCCAAAGCGCTTAGGAGCAGGTATGTGACGTATGGGATCAGCCCGTCCTCCCCAAGCGAGGAATCTGCTCTGGGCTTTTAACACGCCCCTGGGCGATGCTAACCCTAAGCCTAAGCCTAAACCTAAGCCTAACCCTAAGCCTAAGCCTAACCCTAACCCTTTCAGCCTCGTTCCTGTTTCCCTCCTTTCTCTCAGCACCAGAGATCAGCTGAGGTCTTCCTGGCATGGACCTTCTTACAGGTGTATCCCAGTTCCTCTGGCTCCCCACTGCAGTGTGGCGCAGACCCCAGGCTCTCGCTGGAAGCCGCCGCTGTTATCTCCACGGCACGTCAAAGGCGCATTCCTTCCCAGATTAATCACCTCGCCTTTATCCTCGCGGCGGCCCATCCACTTGGTATCTGCCCGCTCTGTCGGGATCTTTTCATAACTCTCTTGCAGCGCCCCATAAATTGGGTGTCGACGTCAGATTTAATCACCCGCTCAAATATGACCAGAATCTGTGTGCTTGTGCAGATTATAAAGGGTAACGGCCTCGAACACGGAACCTTCTGGCAACCCCCCCCCCCCCACCTCCCCAAACTGACTGCCCTGGCCTTGTGGAATGCAGGGATTAATAACCTATCACCCCTCTTGCCTTGGATCAAGTACCTTGGGTTTTGAAATCCTAAATAAATCACAACCTTTCACATTATTCAATACCCTTCCTGAAAAACATAAAATACGAAATTTGCTGAAAACCAGACTTTCCTAAATCCTCTGCACTACTATCAGCAGGACATGCCCAGTATTTGAAGTGCACCTCAATCAACCCTAAAGATACACACCTCCCACAGAATGATTACACACTCCTCCTCAGAGTGCCGCTATTGCCCCTACCTGGCGAGGAACGGCTGGGGATAACAGCACACCGTGTGAGTTTTGATGACTTCCCGCACCTGTAGCAGATTGCTCAGCAGCGCCCCCTGTCGGCTCTTGTCAATCTTTGTCATTACGATCTGTGACATTAAACCAAAGGGAAAACAGTACAATGGAGAAACCAAAACCAGGAACGTGCTTGTGCTCTGCCCCCTGCTGGCCAGGTAGAGGCACTGCTTAGGATCCTACTGACCTGCGGCATTTAACTCTGAGACAGTGGACATATTTATATTTAGGTTAAAACTTTTTAATTACCACGTAACTGAAACTGATTAGTTGTCATTGTTGACACACCACAAACAACAAAATGTGTTCTCTGCATTTAACTCATATGTGACAACGTGACAGCAGGGGGCAGTTAATTCAGCACCCAGGGTACCTCAGTGTTACCTTGCTGGTCAGGGATTCAAACCAGCAATATTTCTATTACAAGTGCACTTCCCTAACTATTAAGCCACCACTGCCCCATGAGTAACATCAAGTCTGATGGTATTAAATAAAAGTTGGGAAAAAAATAGAAAAAAAGATAATTGAATGTGTGGCAAAGCACAGAAGCACATAAACTACAACCTTTTAATTTCTTTTTCTTGGCATTTTTGGTCTCTCGTAGCCATACAAATGTGGTCTGGCAAATGAACACAACTACTCCAGTAACAAAAACAGACAGGTGACAATGTCACTCACCACAAAGGGAAGGCCAAACTCATTACACATCTCTATGGCAACCCTGTCCGCTTCCTGTATTCCCACCGCCCCATCGACCAATAGGAAGGTCCTCACCAGGCTGGAAGACACAAACAGTATACAGGAAGCAAAAAAGTGCTAATATGCTCATATGGAACAGAACTGAGACATTCCCAGTATCTGCAGCTTGGCCGCCTCCTTCAGCTGCCCCCGTACAAAATAATAAAAAAAAGACAGATCTGCAACGCTTTCCATGAACTGTGCTGTTTCATACTTTCTCCTCGTTTCCAGGTAGGACTCCACCATTTCCACAAAGTCCTTGGGAGCCTTGTACCCATAGCCTGGCATGTCTACCAAGGTGAACGCCTTGCCCACGGTGAAAAAATTCATCTTCTTCGTGTGGCCCTGCACGCGGATGAGAGGAAACGAAGAATACAAGATACCGAGACACAGAAATCTGATGAACTCCCACCCTCCCTCGGCCCTCCGGCGACAGAATGTCTCCCTCACCGGAGTCTTGGAGACCCTGATCTCCACGTCGGGAGCGAGGGAGAAGAGGACTCTGATCAGGGACGACTTTCCGACGTTGCTCCGGCCGATGAAGCACACCTGGGAGTTGGGAGCGGGCACCAGGTTTTCCAGTTGACTCCTTTTATCCAACAAGCTGTTCACAGCTCATGTTCACACTACCCACATTACAGCATTTACATTAAATCAGCAGATACTTTTACCCAAGCCCTGCTCCATGCCCAACAGTAAAATCACTCTGCTGATCCTGGGATTTGAACCAGTGACCTTACAATCATGGCCACAGCATCCTACCCCACTGAGCTAAGCATCGTTGATACCCTCTAGTTGCCAAATGACACAGCAACTCCCTTTGTTTCCCCCATAATTAGGTCTTATAAGTGCTCTTTTCACTCATGCATTTAATAATAGCTAATTACTGTAGTTTAAGTCGCTGATTTTTTTACTGGGCGATGACTTATAAAACATTTCATCAACACACAACTGTAGGCTAATAAAGATGACACTGGATATTTAACTGGCTACAGCTTAAGACATCTAACTGTAAATTCTGTCATTGGAGTTTTTTTGTCATCCTGACACAGACTGTAATAGATATAACAGGTGGGTTCATGCTGGACATCACTCAGACTAACTCACAGTCAGATGACTTCAGTAGCTGGTACTATGGTAAATGGAACATATCAATACACTAGTAAAACCAGTCATCAAAGTGTACGCATACATCGTACCTCCAATCAGGCCCAAACCCAAGTGCTGTCAAAGGAAGCACAGAAAAGTCCCTCTTAGCAGGCAAATGTTTCGTGCACTGAGGAGAATTCTTGCTCTCTACCAGGGGGGACCAAGGTCATCCTCAGGAGGAGTTAACTTGAATGATGGTTTTAATTTCTGGAGAGGTACCTCAGATTAATGACTGGAAAAACTGGGCAAACTTTATATACCAGAACCCCCAAGTGGCGTGAAAGTCAAAACTCTATGACCCCCCCCCCCCTACATGTACCCCAACCTGCCTGGTCCTTGCCTCCCTCCCTCCCACACAGCCCCCAGGAGTACCTCTGGCTGTCTTATTAATGGGGCGTGATCCATCCTAACTGCTGATGAGAAGTAATCAATCTTGTGTTTGGCGGACGGGCAGAAGAGCCTCTCGGCCCGGGCGATATCCCCCATGCTTGGCTCGAACAGCTGCAAGTCGGCTATGCTGAACCCACTGGTGAGCTGACCTTCCAAAGCACTCAGCGGAAAAAGCAGAGCCTGCAGCTTCTTCTCAGGAAGCTTGGAGGCGCTCTGCAAGGACGCCAGCCTGTGGGCCCAGGACCTAGGGACACCCCTTAAAAGAGTCCTGGGCTGAAGCAATACCCAAATCTTAATGGTGAGCATCTCGTAGGGGTGCACCCTTTCAGGGCTGTATACGCTGCAAACGAAGACCAAGGGGCACAGCATGATGTACAGAAAGACAATTGTCAGCATGTCATGGGCGTCCCTGTCACCAGTATGGAGAAGTCACGCAGACATTAGGCCCGAAAACATAAGCTGATGTTATGTGTTACGCCAAATGAGTCAACAACGTGACCTTGTCACTAAGTCACGTATGAGTTTTTAGATTCACTTCCTACTTTGCTTCAACACCCGAATGTTCGACAGCCTTAGCATAAATTCAAAACATGTTAAAAGACAAATTTCGCGTCAAGGAGTCCGTAGATTTCTACTGAGATATACCATTATGGAACCACATCGTTAAATTAACTGAAGAATGTAACCGGTTGTCAGTCTTTGGCTGTTTTAGACGTATGCATGCATGTCATTAAAGCAAGGCGAACTATCGATCTGAGATAATGACTAAACTTAATACTGCTCTGAACACAATTAAGAAAGAGAGTGTCACGATACCTGAAACACTGCACTACACACGCATCTCTCTCTCTTTCACTTATCACACATGACTCCCATTCACGCGTTCAGTGGACGGT